CGCTGAATAATGACCCCAGATCCTGGTGGTTGTATAATCTGATTCGCCGTGGATGACGAGACGTGTTCTCGCGGCTGCGCTTGGCGCGACGCCAGCTGTTTTTTTTTATCAAGCAAGCGACAGGACTGCGCCATATCGTACCTATCTGTATTTTTTTTACCAGTTGTTGTCACTTACAGGTTAACACCGCGCCAAACGCGTCGCGCAAACGTCCCCCGTCATCCGCAGCAAATCAGCTGAACGATGTGCTACTGAGACCACGTTCAGACTTCGCGATCGAGCGCTGGCTCGCTCGAACTGATCGCGCGATCGCGAAGTCTGACAGCACCTGAAACGGGCTGAGATTTGTGACGGATTAACAGATTCGACTGCGTATTCATAGGAGCAATTTGAGGAATCCATAACTCTCCAAAACTCATAAGCAGGGCATGTAATAAAAAGTAAATAAATAAGCAAGAAAACGAGTAAAGTTTTACCTTGAACTGCCTTTCAAATTTTGCATCTGGATACCAAATCGTGTGCGAGCTACGTTGAGCAAGCAACGACTGGGATGCACCTGCAACTCGGCAGCACAACCCAGCAACTTTACTGCCGAGCATTGCTCCGACTGAAACGTTTCCAACATATTGGAGATAACGAGCATAGTAAAGTAAATATGTATATGTAAGTGATCATAGAAAATGAGATATCCTGGCTGATGAGGACCTTCAAGCTTTCGGAAAAAAAACAGAATCACCAATAAGACACGAAAACTTTATTTATCAGATACATTTATCTAATACATTGCACACAAATAACACATTGGTACATTCAACGATAACTTAATAATCTAAGTGATCCAGAAAATTATAGCACATTGATACATTTAACGATAAGTTAATCATACTCATAAGTAATCCAGAAAATTAATGACACTATGTAACGAAATCGAACCCGGATGATTACTCGTTTAACAAACAGAAGTCACTTTCTACGTTTTAGTCGCACCGGTTTTCCTCTTACGGGCCTGTGCCTTATTCGC